GAGACAGGAACATAAATGAGTACAAAAATTGAACGGAAAACCTCAAAGGATGAGACAACTTACAGGTTGTAGGCGTAGATTGGAGAATAATATTAAAATGGATGTTAAGGAAATATGGAGGGAGGATGTAAATTCCATATTTGTCTGGCTCGCAATATGGGCTAGCTAGCAAGATAATTCTTTATGACACACGTGTATTATGGATCCATATTAGTAATTCAATGACTAGTTATATTCCACATTAAGTGCCTGATGATGGTCCTAGGTGACTGAAACATGCAGCAAAGTAAAGGTTTAATTGTAAACATTAAAAGCGAGTATAATTTTCTTTTGTGGTGACGTCTTAACATAACCAATATGTATTTCAAACACACTATAAAGATACCAAATATATCAAAATGGAAATTTCAGAGGCCAACTTAGGATGATTCTTTACCGTTCACGCATCGAAGCGGATCTCATAATAGCAGTCTGTTGTTTCTTTCTTCCGTTCAAATATCTTAACCTAAAAGTACTCTCTGCTTATGCAAAATTAATTGCTCCACAAAATTTGATACCATGCCTTCAGTAGCTTTAATGATACACGTATGGCCCCAAAAAATCTCACAATGATCATGATAAATTTTTGATCACAGTCATTTTAAAATTAAGCTAGATGGAGAATTGGGGGCATGATATTCATACCGACTTTTCACGAAATGCAGTAAATTAATGGGCGAAATATTGATGTTAGTTGAATCGGAAGGCGGACGGACATACGAGTGCACAGCCACTGCATTTTTAGAATTCATAAGAATTCATTTTCTAATTTCTTTTAAACATAAATTCTAAATGGGGTGAACAAATCTGTGTTAAGCTAATTATAATATTGTAACGTGTTTTGCTACGTCACCGCGGGGGAGGGGGGCGGAGTGTTGACTGACCTGTTACCGTAGTAGCGACAGCGCCCGATGTTGTTACTTCACTGCTGGCGGGTGAGGGAATGTCCTCCATAGCGCAGTACGTCACAATATAAATAAGAGAGCACTGATTTTGGAATTTAGGGTACATTGTATGAACCCATAAATATTTTTCATAAATACCTGATTTGTTTTAAAGTGGAAGATATTTTATATATGCAACCTCCGTCATCTTTCCTGTGGTTGTTATGAAGCTAGTGACAGACCATGGCTTTGCTCTGTTATGTATATATCAGAAAACACAGCCGCAGTTGGGTTTCAAAATAGGCCACACAATTCTGTAACATATTTCAGCTTCTGACAGGCCTACGTATCAGCGACGACAGCGTCTTTAAACATCCTGGAAATACTTCAAAAAGAATTATAAATTCATTGCATAGCAAAGTTAGGTGTATTGGCCCAGTTCAGTCTGTGGCTTTTTCAGCTCGCTCTCTGCTCACTCAGAACTTACTTACACTTTGGAGCCCAATTTGTGGAAACGTCCTCCTGGCTGAATGACACAGCACTGATCTGTAAAGTCTGCTTCAGCCCCGTTTCGTCTTATCAGCTGATAAAGCTTTATTCAGACCGTGGGATCCACAAACAAGAAACTGATTCCTGTTCTAGGTCTTTATTCTCTTAGCATGTAAAATATATTAGCCTATACAAAAATGTTAACCTATAACTTTTGAATAATACTAAGTACTTAGTTTATGATTAAGTATATTTCCTATATCTTCTTATAGAATCCGGACTTGGAAATGTGACTGGCATCAAACAATAAAAGAAATGTCGCAATATAAAAATGTAAGACTTCAATGTCAGCTCCACTTTTAGCCATATTTCCTTATATTGAAAAATAAAATGAATATTATGAGATCGCCTTGCTGTCTGTGTATCTCTCTGTGTCTGTCCATCTCTCTCTGTATACCCCTCCCCAATTTTGGGGGCGTATGAGATCAACTTACTGTCAGTGTATCCCTAGGGGTTATAAATACGGGGATATAGCCCTCCAGGTCGGGGGAGTCTTGAATTTGAAACAGTAAAATGTGGTCATGAGTCTCACAAGACTCGTACCCGAGAGTGTCTGCGCTAGCAAGAGCCAGCAGCAGTTCCAAACGACAGACCCGTCCTCTCGTCAAGATATTTCATAAGGACTATGACCGCAAATGTTGAGTTGAGAAAAACAATTACGGTTCATGAGTCTCAAGGGGCTTGGCACCAAGACGAACTGATTGGCGGTAATCAGCCAATAACTCTGATTCTGACAATATTCAGTCTGACGGCGACAAGTGACAGACCCGTCCTCTTGTTAAAAATGGCACCCCACACAGAAAAAAAAACTGGAACTGATAGTAACAAAAATCCGGTCTTGGGCCCCAGATGGATGCTTGACACCAAAACTAACTGGCCGGCTGACCATCGGTCGAAATGGGACTTGGACTTGAACAATATTGAGCCTCTGTCCGAGAGAGTGGAGGGTGAGATCCACTGCTGTGTTCAGTCAGATGCCCTGTACTGAAAGGTCGATCCCTCATCTGGACGAAGAAGAACCTACTTTAATGTTAGATACTGAAGTTGGCGGTAGCGTAGTTGGTTGAGGGGCTATGCTACAAGCCGGAAGGTCGCGGGTTCAAGTCCCGATGAGGTCATTGAATTTTTTTCAGTTGACCTAATCTTTCCAGTCGCACTAGGTCCTGGGGTTTACTCAGCTTCTAACAGAAATGAATACCAGGAATTAATTAAATAATTTTCCTGGGGAGTAAAGCGTTACCGACGCGTAAGGCTGACAACCTTACCGCCATCTTTGAGCCGATTGTCTAGATAATGTGGGACCCTCAACGTCTCACAACCCTATGGGCCTTCATGGCCTGGTACAGGGATAGCTTTATTTCCTTTTTACAGAAGTTGGCAGCGGGATATTGATATAGACACATGTAGGGTTCAAGTGTAGTCATTTTTATTTGACAATATTCATACTGTAATAAAATACACAAGTGCATTCATGATTACATGATTCATGATTACATATAATAATAAAAACAACTGTCCATGTGACTATTGTTTCATGTCAGATAATCACGTAAAATCACAGTTGAAATTCTTAGTTTTCTGAAGAAATGAAACAGATAGGGGAGACAAGAATTCTTCATGGTACTGCATGCATATTATTTCATTCTTTCTAGTTATAAATAAGCAATTTTATCTAATTTCTTTATCATACTGACGTTACGAAGGGGGCACTAGGTAGTGTAATTAGTTGAGGCACTATGCTACAAGCCGGAAGGTCGCGGGTTCAAATCCCGATGAGGTGATTGGATTATTTTCTTCAATTGATCTATTCCTTCCAGCAGCACTATGGCCCTGGGGTCGACTCAGCCTCTAACAAAAATGAGTACCAGGAATATTCTTGGAATGTTCTTGGGGGTAAAGGGCGATCGGGCCGTAAAGCCGATTGTCTAGAGAAAATGTGGGAACCTCAACTTCTCACAACCCTATGAGCCTTCACGGTCAGGGATACTTTTACTTTTTTACTGACGTTACAAAATTACTGAATAGAGACATTTCGTGGTTCAGTCTCTATGCAATGGCTCATATTTCATATTATGACCAATTTCCGAATTATTACAAAGATACCAGAACTTAAAAACGCGTCCAAGAACATCTTCGCTTCCGTCGTTTCATCCCTACCGAAGTATTTATTATTAATTTCTTCGCTTAGTACTTATTTATTTGTTTAACTATCCATTTGCTGTTTATCTGTTTCCGTCAGTTCTTTACTTCCAATTCATGTACTTCTTTAATTATCTTATATCAGCTTATTTTCCTCTTTATTGATTATTTGTTCGTTTTTTTCTTAATTTTCTCCTTAGTTAGTCGTCCCTTTGTTTGTTGAATCCTTCATTTTTTACTTAGTGGTAAATTTATTTCTTAACAATTTTAAGCTCTCATAAAGAATTCTATCTAGGGAAATTTATCCAAACAATTTGATGATTTCTTCATGTCACATAATCGGAAAACAGAACAATATCGCATTGTAAAGCTCCGAAACTATGACATAGTTACGCCCTTTGGAATTACGGAGACAAATCCAAAGTGCACAAAAATATAGAATTTAAGAGAAAAGATAAAAATCGGGAAGTTCTTCCTGCCGTTTGTTTCAGAACATTTTGTCTCCCTTTTTGTTGTCTAAAAATATAAAGATTAAAATATATACCAAAATAAAATTTGCCCATGTTTTGCACGGGTGTAAAAATTGACCTCCCACCTTCGGTAGGTGTTTGAAAACAGTGCTAAGAAAATATCTGAATCTAGTGGAAGGAGAATACAAAGAAAAAAGTGAAATCCGCAAATTGAAGAACTCAATGATATATATATATATATCATGCAATATTAAAAGTGTGATGAAATCCAGGTGGATGAGTTGGGCAGGATACGTAGCGCGAATGAAAACATAAGCAGTGCATACAGACATTTAACAGGAATACCTGGAAGGAAGATGCCGCTGGCAGGAACTTTGTTTGAGTATCAGGATTCATTTAATACTGAAATTAAAGAATTGTCAGGGGAACATGCCTTCGGTTTGCATAAATTAAGGAACAAATTATGCAACAATTGGCTTCTCAAGAACTGCTCTACTCCGTGGGAGGAGAGGGGGGTCTGTAGTGTGTTTCATATTGGAAGGACGTCTTCTAGCCCATCGACATATTAAATTAAACAAAATTTTGACCTTTTTCTTCTGTTCTGCGATAAATAAAGCCCATCTCACGGGCATGTCTCATTTCAGTGAGAGACTTAGCTCAGAACAATTTTACTGTCAGCCAGTGCCCTATTGGTATCAGATATTCTCCCAGAAGCCAAATTTTATTGGTATATTTTTCATTGCTATTGGGTTGGGACTTAGTCTCTTGTACTGGGGCCATTTCTGGCCTATTGTACCAGCCCCAGATGATAGGTGAGGGTGATTGTGGAGTGACTGGTGGAATGAAGATTGACAGGGGAAACCGAAGTACTCGGAGAAAACCTGCACCAGCGCTACTTTGTCCACCACAAATCCCACTTGACCACACCCGGGATCGAACCCGGGCCCAAGCGGTGGGAAGCCAGCGACTAACCGCTTGAGCTATGGCGCAGCCAATTTTAGTGGTAAGTGAATATTATTTTCCCTCAGAGACAAGTTAGAATTGATGAATCTGTTTAAGGCGATGAATATAAACTATTACGAACAGATACTTCGAGGGGGGGAATACCATTATTTGACTCAGAGAGTAAAATATTTTCATACGATGTTTTCCTGTAATCTTTGTAAGGATTTGGTTCGTGGTAAGGAACTGCATATATTTCAGAAGCTTTTTCTGCATACTGGAAAGGCTCTGCGTAAGTAGTTGCGCTATCTGTCGTCGTGGTAACTTCATTAACTTCGCCCAGATTTGAACATCTTCCCGTATCGTGTAGAGATTGTCGCCTTGTCAGTTCTTCGTATTGTGGGGACGTGTAAATATCAGATTTGATACGTGGAAGAATTATTTTACAATAATTCGAATTATTTTGCTCTTGTGTCTGGTTTGGCCTAATTCTGTAAAAAATTACTTCTTGATTCGCTGATATTTCTTTGGATGTTGCATGTTCATTATCAGTTTTATTAGCTCGACTGGCTTTCCTTAAACAATACACCGACACCTCAGCAATAAGTCCTCCTGATATCACAACGATTATCCCAATTCCTACCAGAGTAAGGAGCACTGAAGATGAACCTTCAACATGCAAATGTGTGCAGTTTTCAGGTCTGAATTCAGTCAATTCGTTATCACAAGCAGCACTTACACTCACATTTTTTTCCACACACCATTTCATTATATGGCGTATTTCACAACCGCAAGAAATCGGATTTCCAGCCAAGTTTAGCTCCTTGAGAGAATGTAAAGGATACAACACTTTTAGATCCAAATTGGTAATTTGGTTATATGACAGCCTGAAGAATTTTAGTTTACTCTGGTAAAGGAAAAGTTCTTTATCATTGAGTGACCTCAGTCTGTTCTGAGATAGATCAAGGGATATCAGTTCTTTAAGACTGTGTAACAAGATACGATCCAGAGACTCTAAGTGATTCTGAATAACTACGAGGTGTTTCAGACTGCTCGCTCCAATAAATACTTTGGCGTCCAAGGAAGACAGATTGTTATTCTGTAGGCGAAATGTATGAAGGTTGCTTAAGTTTCCAGAACAATAGTAATCCAGTAAGTTCTTGAAGTCTGAGTGACTAACAGTTAATGTACCATTTTCCGGTTGACATTTACCATTGCTGGCAAGGGCGGCACCTGTTATCATCATCAACGTTGCCCAAAAGGACAAAATGAAGTCCATTTTCCTGAAATGTAAATAACCTTCCATCATACAGTAATAATATGAAGATGTTTTACTAAAACAGCAACGACTAAGTAACATTTCATTCACTTCACACAGCACAAAAATTAATTTCATTTTAAGTAAAATTTAGTGACTTTTGAGACAATGGGCTGTATGAAGAACCGTCAATCATATCTTTCATTCCAGTGAGGCACGTAAGCATTTGGGCTCTGCCGATCAATGGAAGTCTATTTTGACTTACAACAGTTGAAATATTGAAGCATTTATATTTTTTACTGTCGCGTTTTAGACTGTTAACCCGTACAAAAGCGTATTTGTCCACCACAAATCCCATATTGACAAATCAGTCTGCTCTAATATTTAATTTAGCTACACGAAACTGGAGAAGAAATTTGGGCCATTCTAACTCAGACTATCAAATATCAGAATCGTCATCAACGAGTACAACTTATTTCGACCGATTTTGCGCACTAATCTATGTTGGATTAATTTAATAAAATACAAATATATCTACGGGGGTTTGAAGTCAGCAAACAATGCGTTCCTCTTTTATTTTGGTCATAGCACATAATATATATGAAAACCGAATTTAATTTGCTCTGGAATAGGACACAGAGGCACAAAAAGCTATGTATAAAGTTGCAGTGCGTCAGTTGATACCTAATGTCGCATAGGAATGACGCTCCTGCTTCTTAAGCGGATGGTCCCGGTTTCAAATCTCAGTCGCAAGTAGGCTATCTCAATTGAGAGTCATCAGTCTCACCATGCAAATGCAGAGATAGTGCCTCAATCTCGGCTGGCCCCACCGCTTCCTTTCATATCCTTCCCAATTCACTACGAGTATTCACCAGTCATCCCATCATTTGACGCTGTTGAGTTTGAGCTACTGACTGCATCGTTAAACTCCCATAAATAAATAATATTCATGGATCCGTTGCTATTAAGCAATTAGCCACGTATATATTCATGCATTGGTTGTTAGCGAGCGGGTGATTAGCTACTCGTTCACAAATAGGCTCCTTGTAAGCAGAAAATTTCTTATGTCTTCATGCATGGACTGTTAGCAAGCACGTAGCTATGTGTGTCTTCATGCATCGCTGTTACTAAGTAGGTAATTGTCTTCATGCGTGAATTATTAGTAAGCAAGTGATTAGGTATGTCTTGATGCATGTGTTGTTAGTAAGCAGGTGATTAGGTATGTCTTGATGCATGTGTTGTTAGTAAGCAGGTGATTAGGTATGTCTTGATGCATGTGTTGTTAGTAAGCAGGTGATTAGGTATGTCTTGATGCATGTGTTGTTAGTAAGCAGGTGATTAGGTATGTCTTGATGCATGTGTTGTTAGTAAGCAGGTGATTAGGTATGTCTTGATGCATGTGTTGTTAGTAAGCAGGTGATTAGGTATGTCTTGATGCATGTGTTGTTAGTAAGCAGGTGATTAGGTATGTCTTGATGCATGTGTTGTTAGTAAGCAGGTGATTAGGTATGTCTTGATGCATGTGTTGTTAGTAAGCAGGTGATTAGGTATGTCTTGATGCATGTGTTGTTAGTAAGCAGGTGATTAGGTATGTCTTGATGCATGTGTTGTTAGTAAGCAGGTGATTAGGTATGTCTTGATGCATGTGTTGTTAGTAAGCAGGTGATTAGGTATGTCTTGATGCATGTGTTGTTAGTAAGCAGGTGATTAGGTATGTCTTGATGCATGTGTTGTTAGTAAGCAGGTGATTAGGTATGTCTTGATGCATGTGTTGTTAGTAAGCAGGTGATTAGATATGTCTTGATGCATGTGTTGTTAGTAAGCAGGTGATTAGATATGTCTTGATGCATGTGTTGTTAATAAGCAGGTGATTAGGTATGTCTTGATGCATGTGTTCTTAGTAAGCAGGTGATTAGGTATTTCTTCATGTATTAGTTGCAAGTAAGCAGGTAATTAAGTATTTCTTCATGCATGTGCTGTTACTAAATATGTAACTATGTAGTCTTCATTAATTTACTCATTGTCAATATACACGCTCGCACAATCCATGCTTTATTTCGTTTCTGATCTCAACTGTTTTACTCAGAGTTGCACATTTTTAAATTTCCCTTTCACTGAACGTCGTAATTGAGTGATTAGCGCTCCTGTCTTCTCTGCGGGAGTGGGGGGAGGGGGCGCCCCCCCGTTCCGATCTCGGCTCCGAAGACCGGCAACCCTGACTAAAGTTTACGTGGATTTCCTCAGTTCCTGCAGACAAATGCTGCGATAGTAATTAAAATTAAGTCACTGTCACTTCCTCATACATTCTTTCTAATTCATTGCCCCATAATTATTATATCGCGGAAGGTTATACAATGTACGCTATTAAAAGCGTCGTTAAAATCAACAGTAAATAAAAATAAATTAAATAAATAAATATCCATTTCGTCTACAACCTGAGATAAAATCACACATAAGCAGTTACACCGAATACTGGATAACCTAATAATTTGTGAACTGTCTCAAATCCATGAAAAGCAAGTCAGAAAATTCTCTTCGTGCGAAATTTGATCATAATTCTTTGTTATGTCAGCCAAAAAAGAAAATGTCGGTGCAGTACTTACAGACTTTCAAAACATATTTACCTGTTGACAGAAAATCATCATCCAAGTTCATTACCACACTCTTCACAAAAATTTAGGGATATTATAAATATCAATTATTGACAGCAAAAGCAAGTGTGAACAAACCGTTTCAAATGTAGGTCATTCAATAGCAGAAGCGACTCGAACCAGCTATCTTCATATGATGTTGCTCACATTGTGTGCCGAGTTCCTGACGCTTGTTCAAAAGCTGATATTAGACACGGAAGTCGTTTTTAAAACGACGCAATTGTGTGGAGTCTTGATAAGGTCTTAGACTGTGCACCATCCGTGTTTGCATTAAGACTGCGCAAACACTGCAAATCCTACCCTGCTCCTCCATTCCCAGTAACAATTATCTCTGTATGAATTCATTTCTCTGAGGTGGAATTTCAGTTTCCTTTTTCAGGACAGAATCTCACTCAAACGCACTTTTACCCTGAAGATGGAGGTAGCAGATTCATCCAAAATGTTAGTGTCAATCTACCAAACGACACGACTTCATGTCTCAGAAGACTGTTGTTTTGTTTTGTTGTTTTCTTGCACCATATTTGTAACCAGATTAAGGAGCACGTGATGGGTGAACACGTAGCATGTGTGGAAATGGCGAGAAATGAAGGGTTCTATCTATGAAGCTGAACAAGCCAGAAACGCCTATCCGTGAAGCTACCGTATTACGCATGTATAGGCCGCGTGCGTGTATAGGCCGCAGCACAATTTTCAGACAGAAATTATAGAAAAAATAATTTTCTTGGAATATTATTTCAGGAGTAGAACACCCTGTATTACTAATTATGAATATAATTTTTTTAAATGAAGTGTGATTTCGAATATCTCGAATATAAGCCGCACCCCAGTTTTCCTCTTGAATTTTTGGCAAAAAATGTGCGGCCTATACATGCGTAAATACGGTATGTATGTATATATATATCTTGATGACGAGGTAGATAATGATTTCCCGCTAAAATGTACCTCTTTTCATTCTGTTTTATATTTGGAAGAACATTCATTCTGAAAGAAATTTTGAGAGTAATATATAAATTTCTCAGGTGAAGAATTTTGTGACATTATGACCAAGAATGTAGGAGCCGGGGTAGCGCAGTAGGTATAGCGGCTGCCTACGGGTTTGACGACTGAGGAGTCGGAGTTCGAGTCCCGGTAGGATCAAGAATTTTTTCTTCTCAAAATCGCCCAGATCGGGTCTGGGGCCCATCCAACCTCCCATCAAATGGGTACCATGGGCTCTTTCCCCGAGAGTAAAGCGGCAGGGGAGTGAAGCTGACAACTCACCTCCAGCTGGTGCCGAGGTCAAGAAAATGTGGATCTGTACATCCACTCCCTTATACGCGTAGTGCTTAATTCGTTGAGCACAGGGGCAATTTTAAGTGGGGCACGCTGTAGGGTAGTTGGTTGAGGAACTATGCTGCAAGCCGGAAGGTCGCGAGTTCGAGTTTCGATGAGGTGGATTTCTTTCAGTTGACCTAATCCTTCCAGTCGCACTATGGCCCTGGGGTCGATTCAGCCTCTAAAAGAAATGAGTACCAGGAATCTTCCTGGGGGGTAAAGAGCACCCTGCGCGTAAGTCTGACAAACTTACTGCCATCTATGAGCCGATTTTCTAGAGAAAAGATGGGAGCCTCGACATCTCACAAAACCATGGACCTTCACAACCTGTTACAGATATAACTTTACCTTTTTTGTCAAGCTTGGCTTATTCTTCGACCCTGAATATCGAAGCGAAGTATTCCTCCGAAACGTCAGTTGACTTCCAGCAGACTACATGACGTTATATCATAGAAAATGTAGCTTTCTATAATCACCGTTTGGGAGAACTACAAATCCTGTGACAAATGGCTCAGTCCGAAGATGTGATTAGATGAGAAAGTTGGAACATACAGACGCAGGTGAGGGATGACACTCTACTCCATGTTAAAGGTAACGGAGGGGTGCAATGGTGTTGACCTGACCCACCTGGCTCAGTATAAGGTCCATTGGATTGCACTTGTATACACGGAAAATGAAGGAAAATTGTTGTCTTACAATTATAATATACGTTGCCCTGAATGTCACGGAAATTATACACTAGGATTATTTTACATTCTTGGTTATCTTGCTACAAAAATCTTCATCTTTGAAATCTGTGCAGTACTACATGCCTTTCTTCCAAAATGAACGGGTTTCTTACCTACGTTGACCGGTTCACGGCGACCGGTGCACTGCCGGCTGCGAGGCTCATACGAATTTTTGCCGGCGAACCAGTATGTCATGGCTGATAACATTTGAAATTAAGGAAATTATTAAATTTATGAAACTCTTGTCGACATTACGTTTCACGGCGAATATTGTAGTTCATACGTGGGAATTTGTTTATGATTTGTCAGCAGTGGGCAGCAAATATCAGCTCCATTAGCCAATTGCTCTAAGTTACAGTTAGTGAGCAGCGTGTTACGTCGTGATGCGGTATACTTGCGAGCAACACATGTCTTTGTATGACATCTATGTGAAATACGGATCTGCTGGAAAGTGTCGTCGAAATTTTCTGCGTTAATTTCGTGATGAAAGAAACAATTCATAACGCGGCGAATAAACTTAGATCACCGGGACTCTAAGAAACAAGAAACAAAATCATGAACTCTGAGTACTTACAGAGGAAAAGTTAGATGACTTGAACATATACCTAGCAAATCACTGAAACGTCTAGCTCAAGAGATTGGAGTGTCAATGTCTAGTGCAAGAATGGCAACACAATTGCTGAAGAAAGCAGTCTTCTGGGATTTGGCACCGTGTATAAGTGGTGTTAACCGACGTTTCGGAGGAACGTATCGCCTCCATCTTCAGGGTAGAAGAAAAAGTATAAGAAATCTGCAAGCGACAAGACCGTGAGAACGGTAAAAGCA